GTACTGGCAACATCATGGTATACCTAGCTCAAGCGCGACTGTCACCTATCGCGCGACAAGGAAGCATCGGCCCGATGTACCAGCGTACTACTGTCGCCTACTGTATACTCTACCAAATTACCTCACCTCATTTCGGATATCCAGCTGTTGCTTTATCCGACTCAACTGTCGATGGAACGACTGAAGCCACATTATCGAATCCGTAGAGCAACGCAATTCCCATTAACCCACCCTCCTTGTTGAGTTAGTTGCGTTCAGGCCTCAGCGTTGTGCTGAAAACCTTCCATCCATTTTATGACAAACATTTCCACGTACACACAACAGTGAATGATGTAAGACCAGTCATGAAAATCCTGCCACTGCGATGCTAAACTGAAGCAAGCACACCGACCAAACGTGTCACAGCCTCCACATCGCTACCGGCCCCTGAAGAAGCTTCACTCATAATTTCATTGTGGGCTTGGCATCAAAAGTTTGAGGAGGATCCGCATAATTGTAGGAAGTAGACAAATCCACATTAAAATAAATTGTTCACTGATAGCGGTTCGTCACATGTAGAGTCAGACTACATGCATCACACGGTCAGAAATGCACTGTACGACTATTTCATCCTTTCGAGGATCGTCAACAGTGTGCATTGCATCTGACTCCCTTGCGGTTCGAATCCGCAACTTGACTGTTGCCACTTTGTGGTCGAGAACAATGAGCAACCGGGGAAGTAACGACCATTGTGACTGAATTGGTAGACGTGATAGTGATTGGCGACAGACTGTTAATTGTTGGCAACGTGAGGCACGCCTGTACGGTTCGTGAAACTAGGATTCTATACCTTGTCGTACCGTCGGGTGCAAGTCGACCTGATTATGAACTACCATATTCTACATCTCGGTGACTTCCCAATCCTGAGGTCAATGCTGCACTTACGAGGGCCATTGAGCACACGCGGACACAGATACAAACTTGCCGTGCCGGATGTGAAGCGAGTTCCCCACTCACTGTGCTTCGAACGGAGAGTGGTAAATATTTGGTAGAGTTTGCCTGCACATGTGATGGAGTCAACATCTGTGCAGCAGTTCTAAAGGTTGTTAGATTTACATTTTACCACTATTAGATTCAGTGCACACTGACGATGACATGTCACATTTGGGATTCCTGCAATATTGTGAGTCATATATTGTACATGTTACCTGAGAACGATAATGACATCCACGCCTGACAACTTTATAACGTTTTTCACCATATGTCGAAAGAGTTGTCCAGAATTCATTTCTACTTGCTCTATAGTACAGTATTCATGGTAAGCGGACAATTAACGAATAGGAAATGTGCGAAAATGTCACTAGTTTACCGAAAACATATTGTATCTATGTATGCATAAATATGGTTGGCGGCATCCGGTTTCGAATTTGCCTGTCACTGTGGCCAGCCACAGGACGCCTGCACATACAGAGGGACCATGGGTGGCTTTCGCTGCAACACCCACAGCTCCAACCATACACCTGATATCCACTGTAAACGCGAAGGAATAATACCAGGAGGCATGTGGCTGGGAGCCACGTTTCATCAACGAAGCCGGCCCACACTCCTTCACAGGCAAACACAAGCACGCTCTATTTGGGGAATCAAGCGCACACAAGGCGGTGGCTGGACCGTAGTCCGCTCCACACTGAGTGCATGGAACCACTCTTTGATCCTAACACGACCATAAGAACCGTGCACTGCGTCACCTCCAGCAACGACCAGCTGTCTCCTAGAATCAGTATGGACGAGGTATTGGGTGATAGACAGGTAAGCACCTTGTCAACATGCACATCAAGCGCAGCCACACCGGAGATATCAAGCACCAATGCATCACTGCCTGACTCAGGCACTCGGGACCACATGTGCTACAATACCAAGCGCTTGATGTCGATGGAGTACAACCCTTCGGTGCTAGACGCTTCCGCACTTGTCATCAAACCAATCAGACCGCTTATATATATATATATATATATATATATATATATATATATATAAGCGGACTGATTGGTTTGATGACAACAATGCGACGATTGGCGCATTGGTGTCGGAGAAGAGTGCAGCATTTGCTGCACATGCGGCAAACCATTAACAGTCTGTCGCCAATCACTATCACGTCTACCAATTCAGTCACAATGGTCGTTACTTCCCCGGTTGCTCATTGTTCTCGACCACAAAGTGGCAACAGTCAAGTTGCGGATTCGAACCGCAAGGGAGTCAGATGCAATGCACACTGTTGACGATCCTCGAAAGGATGAAATAGTCGTACAGTGCATTTCTGACCGTGTGATGCATGTAGTCTGACTCTACATGTGACGAACCGCTATCAGTGAACAATTTATTTTAATGTGGATTTGTCTACTTCCTACAATTATGCGGATCCTCCTCAAACTTTTGGTGCCAAGCCCACAATGAAATTATGAGTGAAGCTTCTTCAGGGGCCGGTAGCGATGTGGAGGCTGTGACACGTTTGGTCGGTGTGCTTGCTTCAGTTTAGCATCGCAGTGGCAGGATTTTCATGACTGGTCTTACATCATTCACTGTTGTGTGTACGTGGAAATGTTTGTCATAAAATGGATGGAAGGTTTTCAGCACAACGCTGAGGCCTGAACGCAACTAACTCAACAAGGAGGGTGGGTTAATGGGAATTGCGTTGCTCTACGGATTCGATAATGTGGCTTCTGTCGTTCCATCGACAGTTGAGTCGAATGAAGCAACAGCTGGATATCCGAAATGAGGTGAGGTAATTTGGTAGAGTATACAGTAGGCGACAGTAGTACGCTGGTACATCGGGCCGATGCTTCCTTGTCGCGCGATAGGTGACAGTCGCGCTTGAGCTAGGTATACCATGATGTTGCCAGTACCCACGCAGACTGATAAACTAGACGCCGTGCCTCATGTTGAGGTTGATGTTGCACACATCATGCCACTTTACCGCCGTTAAGCTACACCGACTAGAACTTCTTAGCTTTGGATAAAAAACATTCCACTTAATTTAGTTTGCTCAGTCCTGTTACTCTGTAGCATATTCCGTGTCAATATTGAGGTGCTAGACTCAACTAGTGGTTCCATGCACCCAGTGTGGAACGGGCTGCGGCCCAGCCACCGCCTTGTGTACGTCCGGTACGCATGATTCCCCACATATCTAGACAGGGATGCTGCTGTTGTGCATGTTGAATGAGTGTGGGCTTGCTCCGTTGATGTAACACGGCTCTCATCCACATACCTCCTTGAGGTTCGCACCGGATGTGGGATGTGTGGATGGAGCTGTGTGTGGTGTACGGCAAGCCAACGATGGCTCCTCTGTAGTTACGGGTGTCCTGTGGCTGTCGGCATGAGGACCACAGTGACAGGTGAATCAGGAACCGGAGGAAGCCTGCCATATTCTCTACGCCTTCTAAACGGCTCTAGCCAAAATTTTGAACAGTTATAGTTTCTACTTTGCCCCAATCATATGCGTACCTGTATGCCATTTATTAGCATTTTCATCACTTCACTCCATGACTGATATCTAAATGCGATATAGCGCGGCTCATCCTCCACTGTCTTGCATGTTATGAATGCGCAGAGGACAGGGCTGGCCCCAGAGCAACGACTTCCTTTGCAAGCCACCACTAATCGGGGTGGCATGTAAGCTTCTAAGGCGGCTACTGATTATTTGTAAGTAGTAGTAGGAGGATGAGCCGCGCTATATCGCATTATCAGTCATGGCGGTCCGCCGCCGTTTCCTATGGCTCAGTGACATAAGTCGCTGGCTCGCAAGAGTAAGGTCGTGAGTTCGAACCCGGCAGGATTCCGCGGGTGCGCGCTACTGACTGGTCCCAATAGGACGAGACGGCCGTCTAGCGCTTTCCTGGATGTGTGGTGGCTGTCTGCCTGTGTCTAACTGCGACAAACCTACATAAAAAGTTGTCACCTTTGTTCTTAGCTTACTTGCAGTTGACATCCTTTTGTTTCCGATATCTTGTTCGTTTTATTTTTGGCCTAGGGCGCACTTCTCAGAACTTACACGCTCGCCTATTTTGTGTCTTTAACTAAGCAGGCATCACAGTCGCGTAACCTTTTGTTGAAAGCCATTTTAAAATCCTAAATTTTCCATGTTGTCAATATTCTCCTGACTACAAACGTGACAGTGTAATACGCACATAAGATATATTGACGGTATCACCATTACCGTGTGGCTAGGCTAAACTCGAAGATGTGTTTCAACCCCTCAGTTGAGAAATGTTACAACAACCAAGTGTGCATTATCGTATGATTTCCTTACGTTTCCGGCACACATGCGGTCTGTGAATGCATATGATCCAAGTGTTGGAGAGGCGCACGCAGTTCTGATGAAGTCACTCCGACTATCGGAGCCAGGAGAGCGCCCACGGATCTGTGGGACGGTAGGATTTACCAGTCCTCGCGACTGTTCCCGAACCGTCAATGGATCCATCGGTGACTTATGCTCCCCCCCGATAACCGAATGTCTTCGGTAGATTGAACCCGTTTGTGAATTGCAAATAACCAAGGCAGATTTAGCTTCATAGTTTCAACACTACCATTCACCGCAAGTGGTGAATGACCAGCTTGATAATCATTTAACTGCGAACCAGAAGCTATCAGGCGAATGTCAATGCAACCACTGACCAGGTAGCAGACATCGTTCCGATGTAATTAATGCTTGGAACAATGGTGTATCATAGGTAAAAAGGCAAGGCTTGTCTAGTCCCGTGGGATGGTTTGTGTGAACTAGAACTAGCGCGTATATAGAATGATTACAGTAGCAAGTTATAATCTATTATAGTCGCTACGCGAGAGTTATTTTCAACACGCCAATTGCGTCCCCCATCAAGCCTGTAAAGCTGTCATCTGTTTGATGTGAGTTTATGATTCCTGTGTAATGTGAGAGGCACGCTGCAACAGTGGATATATTTTGGCGCTTACGCAACAAGCACTTCTGTCAAATAATATTCCACCATATTTCTCTAACTTTTTAGGTCATGTGCTAGGTTGTGAAGCGCGCGCGATCGAGCTCAGGCGTACCGGATTCAAAGAATGTATGCTCGAAGTTACACGCCTACTGGCCAACTTTCAAGGAATTAACGTCCATTACGAAGAAGTCAGACAGACCATCCTCACACACCTACAGCAGTATGAACGCCAGCGGGATGCTGATGCGAAGATCTACTTGGCGAACATCGCAGCAGTAGCTCATGCGCTGGATTCCCAGAGACAAAAGCTGAATCTCGGTATTCCACATCCTGTAACGGCAGCTGCTGCCAACCCTTGGGTTTGTCAACCATCAGATCCATGTGCTCAGGGTTCCTGCGATTCCAGTCGGGGACAGAGCTATTCACACCACAACCATTACGACTGGGAATCGAGCAGCCAGCAGTACACCGTTGCCGTACCCCAGTATCCGCAGTCAGCATTCATTAATCAAACCGGTTCTCAGTTAATGAATCCAGTTGGCAGACAACACGAAAATTCCTCTATAAAACATAAGCCCCAATCCTCATGCCTTCAACACAATCAGACGGATGTTGACTTTCATGCACAGTTCACCAGTCCTTCACAAATGAACCACACGCCTTTCAACTCTCTAACGAATCCAGGAGTGAATGCCATTCAGGTCCCCAACGTGCTCGGACCGAATGAGAGTCAGTCCACATCGTCCCCACCTTTTCAATCGACTCCGGACGATACCGAACTGATGACAAGCCCACACCTGTTCGGGAAAATGTTGGGTTCCAACGAGGGTCGTACAGAGTGCTCGTCTTTAGAGAACGTTCAAACAGCACCTCAGACGACCTCAATGTTGGCTCAGCTGCACAACAGACGGGATCAGCCATCGACATCCATGCTGCCCGAAGTGTCGGGAAACCGGTTGGGCGCTGTCCATGGATGTGGGAACCAGACTGGAAATGCCAGGAAGCTCGAGCCTTTACAGCCTACAGCAAAGCACAGTGATTCTAGAACCGGTCTAGAAGTCTACCCTACCGCACAGCCGTATGAGGAAGTTTCGTATGGAAGCACTCAAGCTTATCCTAGTTCAAGCAGGGAAATAGAAGTTTGGAACAAAACGAGGATCCCGGACACAGATTCCGGATATCTCAACAACTATTGGCAATATTCTTTCCAGGCGCTGTGACAAGAGAAAATCATCACTAGACCAATTATTTTTTTACCGAAAGGCTTTGCTGTATTTGTAAAGTATCCTATTTTGCCAAAGACAGACAGTGTGCATCTGTGTGGTGTGTCCTACAGCACTGGGTGCGGCATAATTTGAAAGCTAGATCCTGTAAATTTGCATATCCACTTATATGGGTGCAGCTAATCTGTCCCGACCGACGCAGCCAATCGAGTCAGTCATGCACCCTTTTGCGAGCTAATGACAGCAACTGGGTGGATCGATAAGTCACGTGCTCGTCTCTAACTGGCAAGGTACCACATAACAACAACTCCTACGGTCCGCGGCAAGCAGCTTTAGGCTGACGCTGCTCAGCACCATCCAGTAACCCGGTTCGCATTAGCTGACGGCATGATAGCTGGTGCTGAGTCGTCATCCGTTAATCCTTCTGGTGAGTGATGTGGAGGGAAAGGACCATCCGTACGCAGGATCCTGGATCCATCAACGTCGCAGCATTGTTAAATGTCGAAGCCCTCACCTTGTGATTGATTTGCCACATGGATCTAGAATTTGGGTCACGATTTATTTTGATGTAAACCACCGTATTTCCAATCACTAAAGTCACCAAAAATAGCAAGTTTTAGATATTGTTCGCTCCATCTCGATGAATACCCTAGCTGCATTCTCCTCCACTTTTTGTTACCTCTCACATCAGAAACAAATCTGTCGAACTCAACTTCGTGTACAATCTACCACAAACCTTTATCAGTGGAATCTTGGTCTTGTGATTTTAATTTTGTTTCGTCTGGGATTAACATCTAACCTTTATTTTCAGATAGGGTCTAAAGACTGCGTGCTCAGACCCCGCTACTTTAAGTGTTCACACGGTAGATTATACGTCGTAGCCATTTTTACTAAGCGCTTTTTCCACAGGAACGGCTAGCTGCGTTTTCCTACCTACCCTTTGTCTGATTCGTCCTTTAAGAACTCACTAACATTACGCACTCCCACCGAAGCCCGGTAGTCATGACATTCGATTCACTCCCGTGAGGCTTGAGAGACGTCGATGGATAACTTGAAAAGCTGCCAACTGTGAATAACTGGGGCTCACTGCTTTCTACCATACCCGTTACCGCCTTGCCTTCGACGGGGTTCATTCGCCATGGTAAAGTGTCCTATATTTATGTGGCGCAGTAAGCCAACTTGTGGTGTATGGTGGAATACTCTAAGGGAAAAGCCAAAATACTTTAGCCCACAACATCAGGTGCCGCGTACTGAATCTAAGTTGAGCAGCAGACGTGTGGTGCCTGAAAATGCGACAACATGATGATTGTATTACGATAGCCTGCGGACACTTCACTGTCTTCGTCATAGATGGTTAATTGTTACGGACATGCTTTTCCTTACAACTTTTCCAGTGCTGATAAGAACTGGGACAACTAATAGTGGAATCAACTGAAAGTGTGTCCATAAGTTGCGCTCGATTTGAACATGCAACCAACACATGTGTTGTGTCATCATTGCAAACGGTGCTTTACGGTTTCAAGGGAAACCTTGTGGACTTCGGTGAGAAACTGTCCTCCTTCTTAGATATACAGACAATCTGTCTATAGTAAGGCGAAAAGGCATTCAACATCGGTTGATGTCAATAACTGCTCCCGTTTGATACGCGGCTCTTCAGCTCAGGAGAAAGTAAACTTTATGGAGACAATAAAGTGCTTGCTCCAACAGATTTTACCAACTATCTAACAAGCATGTCTTACTGTTTAACCAGATGAAATTCCTTCCATTAGAGTGACCATAGTTACAAAACTTATTATAGCCGGATCTGTGAAGTAGCTGAGTGACTGCAAGGAACCATGGATTCAAAGAAAAAAGTGGGCTACCATGCTATATCACAACTAGTTACTTGTTCACGGTAGCCCTTGCCCATCCCTCGTTACCAAGTGGTCTTAACCACCCATTCTTATTCGTCAGGTCGTGGGCTCTAGGCTCATGGAAGATAGACGAACTAATTGTTCATTTTTTCTCCGAGCTTGGCGGTTTTCTCTCAAATGTTTCACCACCATGCGAGGTGGCATCCTCAGTGCAGTGATTTGTAGCGTGCAAGTTTACTAAATGAATTCTCCATCCATGATCGACCTGCAGGTGACTTTGAACGTGCAGTGTCGATTTTGGTCCCGTGACCTCTACCCACTTACCCCAAGGCTAAAGTCGACGCCCGAGTTGTTCTGCCTCAAACCTCCAAGCTCGGAAAACAAATGAACAATTGGTTCATCAACCCGAGCTACCAGTATTTCGAAACATAAACGAACTGTACACTACTAATGACTCCTGGAAGGATGGGGCATTTGTTCAGTCTCATTCAAAATAACCAGTGGCTGTCTGACCAAGTGTGATTGTAGGGAATCTACTTCTGAAGAGTTATACTAGTCAGATGAGATAGTTTAGGAGCAGAACTAATGGAATGAATGCAACAGCATCACAGACTTCGCATCCTCGCCTTATCTGAAAGAGTATTCCTCCAAATAATGCTGCTGATCCCGAGGACACTACCTAGAGTGACGATCTGCGTCAGCCAATATTGTATATCATATGCGTAGTTGAGGTGATGTAGCAAATCTGGTTGAGCTGGATGGAATGTTGGATTGGATGTTGCTCGAAAGACGCAACTTCTAAGGTTCCTACCTCCAAGAGGCTACTAGTTGTTGATGTGATAAATGGGCTACATAGTGCTCGTGACAGAGGTGGGACGGTTCCATCATGGGACAGGCGAAGTCGTAAATACCGCTTTGTGCCTTTTGTGCCCATATCTTCCTAAATTATATCGGCGTTGTGTATGTTAAAGGAGTGCGTGGTGACAGCGAACAACTGCAACAAAAACCGCTTGTTTTCCTTCATAGCTCCTTTGAGTTTACTCTCGATATAATTTGTGTGCGCGCGCGCGCGTGTGTGTGTGTGTGTGAAATTCAATACGAAGCACCAACGGTTCCACTGTAGGCACAGTTATCCTTTAGCTGTTCTCGATTACAGTTACAGGAAAAGACGAAAATAGCTGTCGCCAACCACAATTTTATGCATTCGTTTTGCAGCCTGGCAATGACCATCTACCAGTTCTTTGTAAAGACGATTTGCGTTTCAGTTTGGTCAAGTCCACTGTTTGAATTAAAAGCAAGTTTTGGATCGTTCGAGGATTAAGTCCTGTTTCCCAGCTACCTCCCACCCCTCTACTGCCTGGTCCACCAGTGTCTTCCAACAGCTATCTCTTTTACACTTCACCTGAGTTTTCTGAGACCAAGATCATTAGCGGCAAATGATGGCGAGCCCTTGGACCGATTAAATGCAATCATGTTTCACACTACTACTCGTATGGCCTCACTCCACTGACATATTATCGTTACTTTTCTCCGGAATAAGCTTACAACACTAAGTGCCCCGTTTGTCTTTGAAAAGTGCTTAAACACCGAACAGTTGGTTTGCATTTGACCCACATGAAATCATGTCTAATGAATAAGAGCGGGTTGACAAGTTGTTCACAGTTGATTTCTGCAATAAACCGAGATTAGGACTTGGTTAACCGGATAAAGATGGATCATCCAACCAACAAATATGTCCTAACAATTGAACTCAAGGAACTCCCGTGGAGATTGTCACAAGTAAAACGTTCATTACATCGGCCAGCAATGAGCTACTGTTGTGAATCAGTCTTAGATAACAGTCCGCAATAACTGATCATTCTCCAACTGGCAATCCTTCAATGGTTGTATATCGAGTGTGATACAATTGTGTCCCAAAATCCAAGACCAACTGCGTTGTTGTCCCATTAAAGCCCGTCGAAGGTGCAAGTATTAAAACCAACAAGCTAGTGAATAAGTATTTATAATTCTTTGGACCAACAAGATAACCAATTATAAAGCAAGTGTATGAGAATCTCAACCTTCCTTGCCGAGCCTCCGACAGCACACTTTTAAATAAATTTTGAAATACAGATGTGTTGAATACTGATAATGGTACGGTAGGTATGTTCATATCAGCCAGATAGGTGCCACTTGTCCGGTAAAGCACCGGACAGCTGTTTCATTTTATTAGAACACGACGGGTTTGCGCTTTAGCCTCGAGCCCTGTTGGTTTCGAACTTAGGAGTATTCTGTCCGAATAACTAAGCTACTACATCATGGAGCGGGGTTCGCAAGCAATAGAGTTGGTTAATCCTCCGCTACCAGAGATGCCCCTGTTATGCAGTAAGCCGTGGCTATTTTCTCGCAACAAAAGGTTGTCTTAAATGAGTGTTAGGTGTTTCCCACCCAAAAACACTGCACACCACGACCCGTCTCGATCTGCTTTGATCTCATCAGGTAGAAATAGCAGGCCTCGAACCCGAGGCAGTCGTGATGTTAGTTGGGACTTCTATCCCTGAAGTGGAGTGGAGTGTTTTCGTGCTGCCAACACCCAATAGTCATCTACTTCATCCGTTGGGATCCCATTGATCACTTCAACATGAATCGCAGTCCAAATTGAGATTGCACGTCGCAATCCATTCACACAATGAGTGCTTCAAAGTGACTCATCAATCTGCTATCTTGTTATGTCGGAGGTCAGCATGAGAAATCGCTATCCATGAGAGAAGTCAGATTACTGATCTCCGAGGGAGTTTAGGTCTTTCGTTGGTTTTCACTCCCAAGCTTGTACTCAATGGCTGATGTCGCAGTTTACTTGCACATCAAGACGGTCTAAAGCTGTCCTCCGCGGCCCAGTAGCATAAGCTGCTGACTAACAGTGCTAGCCGCTGGTGGTCATGGGTTTGAATCCTGATGGATCCTATGGATGCTCAAAACTGACGATGCCCAATGGGCTGAGACTGCAGTTTAGTGCTTTTTCGGGCATATGGGCGACTATCTACTTTTGAACTGGCTGCAACAAACTCCATCATTTATGTCCTTTTTGTTTGGTCTTTTCAAGTGGAGAGTGAAGAGTAAACACTCCTCGTCGTGCCGACTCTTTCACGGATAGTAGCGTTATTT